CATACCGTATTTTATTGTTAAGTAATATAACCTTTTGAACCATTTAATGTCTTCGTAATATATTTTTTGCCATAGGTCCAAAATTGAAGGTATATCAACTATCACAATAACTATAAGATTTTAGAAGTGAAATTAAGATTAAATCAATAAGAGTTACATGTTTTTTTCGTCATATGTTCTACACTGTCTCGACAGATTAGTTTCACTCGTTTGGAGGCGACCACATATTAGATTAGTTTCTCTCAGTTTCAGGACTTTCCTCCAGGCCCAAGAACTACTATATTGCATCCGAAAAGACCACAGATCATGTTGCCTGCATTTATACTCATTCATCCACGCCACCCAAAGTGTTCCAGAGTTCATGAGAAACAGCCAAAGTAAACGAATAGAACATGCCTGATTCCATGCCCCCAAGTCCTTTACTCCCAGTCCCCCTTCCTGTTAAGGGAGTGAAGTATACTCCCAGGCAACCTTTGCCCTACCCTCATCAATACCATGCCATAAAAACTGTGAGCAAATTTTTTGAATCCTCTTTAATGCTTGTTTAGGCAAAACAAATAATTTCATCCAATATTGAACAATGCCTAGGATCACAGAATTTTAAAAAAAAAATCATTTTGACTTATGAAAACATCAATTTTTATTATTTAATTGGTATCTCTTTTGAAAACTTGATACCAAATTAATTTTTGAATAGAAAATTTAAAATCAATTATTATTATAAGTATTTTTAATTATCATTATGTTTTCTAATCATTGAATTTTTTTTTTAAGATTTTGATACCAAACCAATTTTTGAATAGGAAATGTAGAATCAATTATCATTATAAGTACTTTAAATTACCATTATGTGTTATAATAATCGAATAATTTGCTTAAGCAAATATATCCTATGAATTCTATATCGATATAAATAATATGAGGATGTTATATTTAATTATCGTACATCATCTGGATGTTGTATAATTTTCTTGGTTACTTCATTCTATTTTCGTTCTACATTTTCTTCAATTACTGTAATATATTTAATTCTTTCTAACTATGTTCCATTTATCCTTCTTTGATCTTGATGTATTGATGATCGATTAGATTCTATTTTAACTATTTTTAATGGTACTTCTTATCGAATTAGTGATTTAAATAGATCTTCTAATATTGATTTTAATTATTTATTATTGTATCTATATATTTATTCTTCTTCTTGATATTTGTTTATTATTTTTACTAACTCATCTATGTTATTGAAAATTTTAATTAGTCATTTTAGTAATATTATGTTTAGAAGGTTTTTTAATTTCTATATTAGATAAAAACTTGTTGAATATAGTTTTGGATGTTTTTAAAAGTTTTGGGTACACAAAAGTAATTACAATGTTGGGTTGGATGGAAAATTAGACGGATGCACATTTTGGTGACTTTAATGGTACCCGACGCCCTATTCAAATTTAAGTGGTATATCTGCCCCAATTCTCAAACTTAAGTGGTACCCGAGGTATTTTACCCATAGAATTAAAGCCTTCATTTTAAAGCATCAGGTCCAAGTGAGAGAAAAGTATAAAAATGAACTCAATTTCAACGAATAAGTTATATTAAATCGTCATTGTATCTAAATTTATCATAGAAATTTCATAAATATCTAAGCATAATACATGTGAAATCAATAAAATATTCATGCACCTGGGTAAAGTTAGGCTTAACCAGGTTAATCCAATTCATCCATTAATCCTTAACTCACTTGCTTAAACGACTAATTGGTGTAATCGAGTGACAACCTTGGTCATAACAAATTAGACTGAACAAATTTATTGTGTATTTTTAATGGGTTATAGATATAATATACTCCTCTACTATATATATATATATCAATTAAGAACTCTATTATTCACTAATGCATGCAATTTCAGTTTCCATACATATTTAACTCAAATACTTTTATATAACATTGAATGACTCCTTAAATTTCGCTTAGTTTTCAATGAAAGATGAGATGTTGTTAATTGATTTATGAGCTCAAATATACCTCCATACCACTAAAGCTACAATCATTGTGATCTTTAGTTGTTCACTCACTTCTGCCAATGTTTACAAGTTCATATTTTGCTATGAAATTTAGATAAAGAAACTTTAAATCTCACACATTTATAAGTAGGAGATGGAAACTATGTAAATAAGTGATTGCAAATTTACTATTTTGAAACCCAAAACTGAAGGAATTTAGATTATCTCATCTTGCAGTAAATTAAAAAGTCTTATGGGAAAGTGATACCTTAGCGTTGGATGTGGTGGTGAATGAACAACTAATGCCAAACGTGGCCTAAAAAATTCCCTCCCCTATGAATTGCAATAAAAATTCTTCCAAACCCAATTTATTACCAGTCAAATCATATTTGATAATATCACTTGAAGGTCATAACAATAAACGACTATTTAGTTTGAGTCTAAATTAGACCTAGTACATTGGCTACAAAAAAAAAATGAATATCAACTATAATGTAATTTTTGCAATTTTTTTTGTATAACAAACATAAATGTGGAAACACCGATAATGAAGCTGTGAATTGCTTTAATGCGAATAGTTAGATGGTTGATATTTTTTATAGGTATAATTATACGGACTCAAATAGATTCAAATTGTGGGTTCGACCCAAATAAATATTTTTCTACTCTAGCTCTCTCTCCCATTCCATAATTAGTAAATTAAAGTAATCCGACCAATGGGCCGAGTCAAAGCTAGTTAATATTATTCAAAATTGAGTTGTTGACCGGATTAACTAGGCAGCCAAATCAATGCAAATTTTCCCTTCTCCTCCTGTAAATAAATAAACTAGGGCTGTCGGTTCGGTTCGGGTAAACCGAACCCAAAGCCTGCTCCGATACCCGAGAAGCTCCTTAGCGGGTTCTGGTCCGGGTATGACAACACCGAAACCCGAAATGTGAAGCCATATTGCTTGGGACGGGGAAACTGGACAGTGGGGTCAATTAATTGTACCATTTAATTATGTTTAGTGTTTACGGAAATGTGTCAGTATAAAACTAATATTATATATGAGTTTATAACTAAAATAATTAGTTAATTATTAAGATAATTAATTTCATATATTTTATAGCTATTGACATATTATTAAGGCGTATTACTAGTTTATACATGACTTATCCATACCGTATTTTATTGTTAAGTAATATAACCTTTTGAACCATTTAATGTCTTCGTAATATATTTTTTGCCATAGGTCCAAAATTGAAGGTATATCAACTATCACAATAACTATAAGATTTTAGAAGTGAAATTAAGATTAAATCAATAAGAGTTACATGTTTTTTTTCGTCATATGTTCTACACGGTCTCGACAGATTAGTTTCACTCGTTTGGAGGCGACCACATATCAGATGACTTGTACGATACGAAGCTCGCGTTGAATCACGCGTGGCTCATCCTGACGTTCTCAATCACATTATCCGAACAACTAAATCGGTCAACAACTAGAGAAAATGCACAACAGTATAACGTACATCAACATTACATTATCAAAAACTTGTCTCTGTTACCACCACCATCGAGTAGCAGTGCATATTCATCAGGAAGCCAGCAACTTGAAGCCCCAATAGCATATCCATGTTTTGTTTACAGTTACGGAGAGGACAGACAGTTGTTGATTAACTTAGGCGAGGAGTACTCCACGATAAACCGTTCGAGAAAGGTAGAGCTACTTGAGATCATCGAAACCAAGGTGGTAATTAGGAGTGCTAGTGGAACACTAATATTAGCGAACTCTTCCGGGTTTTCTTTGTTAGATCCACGCTCCATGATCAAAACTCCTCTATCGACGTGGGAATTCGAAGAAACCTTCAAAATCAGCGGCGGTGTGTTTCATTTACATCCTGATGATGATGATGCCAAATTGCTCGTTGTGTTGTGTTGTTCGACTACTGGTGATTCCAACAAAGACGACATAGACACTATTATGGTTTGGCGAGATTGCGACGAAACATGGATAGTAATCGAAGTGGCTAGCAAGCAAGCAATCGATCCGCATCTTGGAGCTGTTATGCATCAAGGAAAGATTTATGGATTCTATTCGACATATGATCTCGCGGTGATGGAATTACAGCATGAGAGTTTCGTATTTGAACCTATAACAGAGGTTGAGTTTCCGGAACCTCTATTAGCACTTTAGCAGGAACGATTTGTTGCGTGTGCAAGCTAGTAGAGTCATGCGACGAACTATTACTCTTCGTCAGATACTATCAATGCGGATGGCGTCTAGAAGACGAGCTTATGAGCACTCCTACGGATATAAAAGTGTTCAAGATGGATTGGGAGCTGTTGAGATGGGAGGTGTTGGACGATTTAGGCGATCGAGCTTTTTTCTGATGCAGTTGGGCCTGTTATCCATGTTGCGCTAGCAAATCTAGGTTTCAGAGGAATTCGATTTGCTATGTAGAGGCACGATACAAGAATTTGTATGTATTTGGCTATGAAAACCGTACCATTTCAACTTCCAAGCCTTGTCCTAATATTGATGAATGGACACAGGGTCCTGTGTGTTTTATGTGGTACAAATAGTCTTGAAAGTTGAAAGGCAAGTTTAATTTATAGGTACTACCATTTTGTTATTGAATTGCTTTACAGGCAACAAAGTCATCGATCCATTTCCGAATAGCAACACTATGTATTGAGGTTAGATGACCAGATAGGAAAGGAAGCTGCATTGAAGCAAGAAAGACTCAGTAATATTAAAAAAAAACAAGGTAAATACCCAACTATCAAAGATCAAACACAAGGGGCAACGTGAATACAAGAATCGTCTCGTTCCTAACAAGTCCCATATGCCATCATTTTCCACCCCAAAACTATGGCATCCGTACAGTCACTTATCCCACCAACAGTCTTATTATCTCTTGCTCACCATCTCCCTTAAACTAAAGTCAGAGTTTTGCTTCCATGGAGGCCATAAAAATGTGTTTGTGGGGAAGTGCACTAAAGTCTGTATGACTATCAACTACTCCTCTTGCCAAGGGTCAGTTTTTGTCCTCACTTTTGAAGGTTCAACTACTTCTGAAGTACCTTCACTAGTGCTCGCCTCGGTATCCTCTCCATCAGCTTCAGCTTCAAATTCTACTCTGTCCCATCTCCCTTCTAGTCCTAGTGTCATTGCCATCATCTCGTATATCTTGTTTCCCAAGTTGGCTAGACTGTCTAGCTGCAACTAATCAAAGAGATGCGTAACCATTCACTGACGAGGAAAATATGAATACCCTTTTTGAAAAGTAAAGATAGAATGTAAAATAAAGTTTCATCTTGTCCATTCTTACAGTGAAACCATTGGATATTAATGTCGTATCATACAGCAGATCAACTGCTCTCTTCGCATTAGTGTTATCTGGTGCTTTTCTGCACGCAGCCTGCAACGACAGTAATAGTAGCAGAAGTGAGTGCTAATGCTGCATAATAACAGCTTGCGTGAAATGAGACACAAGGTCATTAAGATGTGCTTACATTCAAGTCCTTGGCGATAGGGTGGTCAGGATTTATTTCCAGAATTCTCTTTCCCCTCATGAATTCCAGGCTTGAAGTATCTCCAAGAGCTTGTGCTTTCATCAACCTTTAATAGTGATGCCAAGGATACATCATATTCACATCGATGAGGTCATATGTTAAATGCTTGAATGAGAACCAAATTAGACACAGTTACCTTTCCATGTTGGCAGACCATCCAAATTTCCGAAAGACAAGCACACACGAAGATGAGCTTAGTCTTTTGGAGACTTGGACTTTGGAAAATTTGTCACCAAGCTATTGCTTTATCCCGTCAAAGAGGGCATTGTATTCTTGTTTAGCTTCCCTTTCCCTTACCTCATCCTCATTACCTGGTGTTAAAACCAATTCTTGAAGTCAAGACAAATACCCCGTCCAAAGAAGCGAGGTACGAAAGTAAAATGCATGTGGCCTTGTTTCTTCAAACATGTCATCATTGTCCACAATAGGGATGGCAATAATATCCGTAACCGTGGATATCCGCCCGAATCCGACCTAATCGGGTAGGGTAAAGCCCGAACCCGAAGGCCTTTTAGTGGGTACGGGTAAAACCCGAACCCGAATATTGCGGGTAATGGGTGGGCATGGTTTTCTCACTATCCAACCCGAACCCGCCCGATTATACACATGCATATGTATTTTGTCTAGAAATAATCAATATTTTTATCTTACATATTTTATATTTAGCCTATACATATAATAGTTTTATGAAATTGTGTTGTTTTAATTAATTTCTTCATTCTAGCGAATTATTGTCGTACTTTTTGTCTTACGTAACGTGAGAATACGTGTCAATATTAACATATTTGTTGGAGTTATAAAGAGAAACTATTACCCATGGATAACCGTGGATACCCGAAATCCGAACGGGTATGGGCATGGTTTAAATTTTCTACCCGTTTCTTATGTGGGTATGGGTATGGATAAAACCCGAAATACTCTGGGTAGGGTAGCGGATATGCACTATCCGTCCCCGACCCGACCCATTGCCATCCCTAGTCCACAAGCAGAATCCAGATATGTCAATGTCCTTCTGGACCAACTTCTCCAAGAATGGAGCTGACTTGGCACTCTTCAAACTGTTAGTTGCCAAGTAATAGATTGTTGTATGGTTTTCTCCAATATTTTCCACATAATCGTTCAAACTTGTGTGCTCTTCCTCATTTTTGGGTGTGTGGAATCTCAGTAGAGGAGTTATACGCTTGTAATTTCCAGAGTCTTCAATGCATCCTAATTTTACAAACCTTCCAAAATTCTCCCAAAACTTCTTGTAATCCTAAAGTGAAGAGAGCACTTCATGAAAAAACACACACTCAAACAAAGGGAGGAAGACAAAAACATGAAGAAGGCACAAGGATTTTAATTGACATTAACCTCTTTGTTCTCACTTTCAGACAATTCCTGAATCATGTCAAAAGTCTTCCTAACAAGTCTCTTTCTCATTATTCTTACAATTCGGCTCTCTTGAAGAATCTCTCGGGATACATTAAGAGGTAGATCATCAGAATCCACCACACCTTTCACAAAGCTCAAATATCGGGGAAACTGCAGTCAACATAATGGGTGTTAAGATAGGCTTGGACATTGTCAGCCAGAACTAAACATTACACTGGTAGCTTATTAAGAGAGAAAAAGCTACATCAAAAGTAAAAATAACATACTATAACAACTAAACAGTCTAAACTAATTAGAGTCAAGGCAATGTTGACATGTCAACATCAACAGAACAACCAGATATAAATTGACCATCAGAAGAACACAATAATGTGCATGAGAGATGTGGCAAGAGGAAACATACCAGCTCCCCATCAAAATCATCTGAAAAGAACACCCTCTTCACGTAGAGTCGTATGTTCTTAGTTTTTGGACTAACTACATCCTCATTGTTCATAGGTGCCATACCAGGAATATATAGAATGCTCCTAAATTCTACCTCTCCCTGCAAATATTCAATAACCCATTATAGACTAGCCGGAAGACGTACTTAACTAATAGTTAATAGTGCCCATCATACCTCTGTATTGAAGTGAGTGTGGGCAAGTGGATCAAAAAATTCATTAAAAGTCTTTTTGTAGAATTCCTGGTACTCTTCCTTTTCAACTTCCTTTGCATTTCGCATCTGCAATGGCACAGAGGAATAACATGAGATATGCAAGGAAGCTAATGCTCCTTTATACCCTAATAAGCTAAACAGGACGACTTTGCCACAAAAAAAAAGGGAAGAAGGGAGTTAACATGAAGATCATGGTAAGAGATACATAAACAAAAAATAGATGCAACAAATTGAAATACTCACCGATATTGGTTTTGTTTCATTCGTTAGTTCCCAGCCCTAGTACTTTTTTGTTTTAGTAGTCTTCTTCATTTTCTTCTCTCCCTAAGAAGTGACACACAAAGTGAATTCATATGTAACCCTAATCATAATAACACAACAGCATTTGAATTCTTCCCTACCTCGGTTTCTCCTTCTTTTGGTTCTTCCTCTTCTTCTACCTGCCATGTAATTCAAGAATGTAGAGACTGGCTACGAATTTGGCCTAGACAAAATGATAACTAAGATAATCTTGGTATGAGAAAATGGAGAGTACAATCTCAACAATGAATTAATTCCCTGATAGAAATGAATTACATACTGACAATTTACCTCGATTGTCCTTGACTTTTCTTGCCAAGTGTAAATGGGAAAGGAAACAAACTGAGAGTAATTCTTCACCAATCCCTGAATTCTGGTTGGATCTGAGAATTCATATTCTTCACCTTCAGATACAGTGTAATTCGTGTCCACGGCCAAGAAACTTTTCAGGATCTGTTTCTTTAATATATGAACTAGTGTCTGCTTCTACTTCTACTTCCCAAACATATTGCTTGTAAGATTTTGGGCTCCTAGTCGTCACCACTACCTGGTAGTGGAAGTCAATTACAAGTTTGTTTAATCAATAGCATTCCCCTCCCACCCAAAATCAAAGGACGAAAATCAACAAATGAAAAATATTAATAATGCTTAATAGTATACCTTCTGAGCAACAAGAAACGCACAGTAGAACCCAACACCAAATTGACCAATCAATGCATTATCAGCTCCAATATCTTGGTTTTCCTGCTTATCATAAGAGAGGGAAAAGGTCAGCATTGAACAAGCATGGTTAAAACATTAAAGAAGAATATGTTCTTTGGAGGCATACAACCTTGAGAGCCTTCAAAATTTTTGCAGTCCCACTCTAAGCAATGGTCCCAAGACAGTCAATGAGCTCTTCTCTTGTCATACCAATGCAGTATCTCTACAAAAACAAAACAGTAATTTTAGAGTTTGCCCATCATATCATCCAAGGTAAGTAAGTGAAGTAAAGCAGAAATATCAACATACGTTATTGTGATGGTTCCATTATCTGCATAAGGTTTGATCCGAATCTCTAGTTCACCAGCATCTCCAAGAAATTTGGGATCGGTAACACTCAGGAATCTGAACTTATCCAAAGCGTCACTAGCATTGCTGCAACACATGAGAAGAGGTTTAAACAAAAAAGTCAACATATAGAATCAAATGAGATGCCACCCAGTAACTTCTGATTGCATAGTAGTAAAATATGAAAAACCTTAACAAAGAAAGGAGGGAGCTTCGCATTTCCATTGGAGTAAGTAAACCTCACCTGGCAAGCTCTTGGAGGAAAACTTCCTTGTTGCTGTAAAGACTATTAACAATCAAATCTAAAAGTCGGCTATCCTGCACCCAATAAAATTGTCCAAAATTCATAATCTTTAACCAAAGACTCTAATGAGTTCAAATTCAACCACAAGCTCACAAAGTATCATAATCTAGAAAGATCTTCGACTTAACAACCATCCCATCCATACACTGGTGAATCTACCAATGAGAATTCTGTCCAAGTAAGTCCCACATATGCTAACAGTAACCCCAAGAACAATTCAAACAGGACAAAGCTTACTACTTTATCAATGTTATAAACAAACCAATTAATACCCACCTCAACTTGGTACTCAAACTTCTCACCGGAAGCCTCGGGAGCATCTTTCTTGGCCACCGAGACGTCGCACCTAACGGAAATCCGATTGTTCCTATTACTGATGACTCGATATTTACACATGTTTTGCCCACCATTCTTATACTTTTTGAGGCTCAGATCTCGGGTTTTAAGCCGATTTTACGCTAGGTTGTTCTTGTTTATGACATTTCAGGTCCTAATGCGTGAATGGAGGTTTGGGCACGAGTTTGGGGACGTTTGGGCGAAATCGAGACGAGCGAGGCAGAGCAGACAAGTTGCACGACCAACACCGGAAAGTGCACGGCCGTGCATGGTGGCCTTTTTGGCCGTGCGAGATTTACCGAGAAGCTGCACGACCTGACCCTGTTAGAAGGGTACAACTCAATCTCTATCGGGTGGTTGCTGCATTTTTATGCAGCTTTGGTGTGTTTTTTCTTACTGTCTCCTTTGATATCTTTTCTTAATTCAATACATGTACATCACCATTATCCAATCATTTTGATGTCACTGGCTCTTTGTTCTTACTGTGTGTTTTGCCTATGAGTTTTCATTGCTTGTGTTGAAGACACTATTCAAATGGTTGTGAATGTTGCAGGTGGTTCACAGTTACACAACTGGTAAAGCAGTTGCACACTATCCAAAATCAAATCCCTTCGATGGACAACGAAAACCCGGCAAGAGGCTGAAACTTAAAAACAAAATCTAAAGTTTATCTTTCTACAAACTATGATTCCTTAACTATATATTAGCATCAATATGAGAGTTTCATCATTGGTGTTAGTTATCTCCCTGGCTCGAAAATTTGTGACCTTTACTATTGGAATGACCACTCCATGAATTTCAATTTCCGTTCACGATGAGTTACTCAATAGACGGGTTGTACCATCATGTGAAACTAACTGCTTTCTAGGCTTCTCTTTGTTGCAGGAAAATTGACTCCAGACAGGTACAATTGCATTGCTCAAGCTAGAAGGTAAGCAAACTCTACCATTCATTTCAAACCCAATACTTGCGAGTAAAGATGATCAATCTACTCACGTTGCACTTATCTTTTTATGAGTTGGTCTTGCAAAGCATGTAGATTTCTGGCCCAACAATTCTCTGTACGACTGCTAGAGGTGAAAAAGAATGGCTACCACCGTTGCAGTGGGGAAGGGTTCAGCTGTACTACATCTGCAGCCACGAGAACTACTGTTCAATGTAGGGTATGGAGATGGAGGTGAATGTTACTATCGAGTTGCCACCGCAACACATGGTCTCTTGCTTGGTTGAGAGCAGCAGCGATACTCCTCATCCTCCTCCATGTCGATTGATCTTTGCTGTCCTATTTCTGGTTCTAGATGTTATGTCGAGTAGTGGTACTCTATTACAATTTGCAGCCTATGTAATTCATGTTATTATTCACTGTAGAAGTGGTGTTAATTCTAACTATGCTCTTCTCCAAGTGATTGAACTAAAAATATTGGTTTGTTGTTATGTAGTAGTGATGTTAAATTCTGTCTATAATGATCCTTTTCCTTATTATCCTCTGAGTTGTCATTGCTTGTGTTGAAGGCACTATTCAAATGTTTGTGAATGTTGCAGGTGGTAAAACATTTTGCTCTCAAATATTTTCTGCTTCAACTACAATTAATAGACAACAAGTTTCACCCACCCTAATGGAAGGTTTGCCTCGCGACTCATGGTAATAATAATTAAAATGTAAGTTTTTATAGCTTAAAAAGTGTTTGTTGTTGTTGTTGTTGTGCAGGATTTGATAGCTGTGTGTTTCTGTTTGTGGCAGTCGAGACAAAAAGCTCTTGCAGATTTGCAACAAATGCAGAATGAGCATGTCAGTATCTTTTATATACACATTGGGAACTAGAAAGGATGAGAAGTTGTCAAGAAATGTTGTTGAATCGAGAAGTTACCTGCAACCAGAGCTACTAGTTTGTCCCATTGGCTTGGATAAGACAACTCAATGATAATCGTAATAATTATGCTTCCGGTTTAGTTGTAACACGTCTAAATGATCTGAGTGAATAGGTTACAGCTTGGTGGAGCTATGAGCTCGAGTTTAGATGGAGCAGCAGTGTCAAGAAAGAGTGTCGTGATCAAAACTATGATTTTGTTTGCTGAATTACTGGTAGGTGATCTGACAAATAGAATTGCGTTTTGTAGGGCATGCTCCACTGTATAGAAACACACAGCTAACGCTCCACTGTAACCTGGAAACAAAGAAGAACCTTAAATGTGAACTGAACCCTACGCCTTAAATGTTCGCCTTAAGAAGGAGATAGAACCTTGCACTAGGAGATACGACCCCATCAATCCAACATAGCCAAAACAACAGGAAAAAATCAATGTAGAAACGGAATTCGGATCGAGGAGCTCGATTAAGGGCAAAATCAGAGGAAGATGGGATTTTGAGGAGGACGGAGGCGGTAAGGGAATTAAGTGGAGGTGAATCGGAGAGGTTGTGTCGGAGATTGCATCAGCCGTAGTGAAGTTCGTCGGAACATTTGGTCGATCGAGGACGTTCACTTTTGGTTCATCTGGTTTGATCCTTATTTTTGTTCTCACCGAATTCCCCTGTTTTTTCTGATTTCTGATTTTGCTGTAAAACAAAACTAACTTCATTTTAATTTAATAATAAAATAAAGATAAAACACAATAACGGGAATGGTCTCCGTTACTTTGGAAGAGACAGTTTGGACCGTTTATGTTGGGCCATGTGGGTTGGTTTAAGATAAAGGGAGACCAACCATGCCATGTCAGAGTCCATGTGGACTAATCAAAAAGTGTGTCACCGATGCCGCACTTTTTACTTGGGCACCTTTGTCTTTGCCATCAGTTGGAATTTGCAGAATAGTGTAAGCCATCAAGTCCTTGTGGCATAAGGACTCGTCAAGAGAAGTAAGAAAGAAGGATAATGACTATTTATCAGTCAAACATTTTTCATATATTTTTTATTAGCCAAAACTATTGAATTACTAATAATTACTCACATGTTAACATCTAGTTAACAATTTTGTTAGTAATATTGACTTGGCAAAATCATATTGACTTGAAAGAGACACATGGAGGTAACATTCCAAAATTTTAATATTTTAACTAAAAAAGAGTTACAAAATTATTAACGATAATGTAAAAATTGCGTAAAAAAGAGCTGAAAATGTCGTATTATTATTGTGATTTTACAGTTAGTTTTAGTTAGATTATTAATCCTGATTAACAAAAAAAATTCACCAAGAAAAAAGTTTATCTAAACCATTAATGTAGATTTCAAATTAGTAGGATTGGAGCTTGTACTATGGGTTTGTCGTGATTAACTAGATCTAAACCAAGACCAAAATATCTAGCTAGCTACCAACCAACTTCCAAATTAAGGGAAACAAATAATATGAGCTCTACTTTCTCATATATAGACTAGAAACTAGAAAGTGAAACTAAGAGTAGCAAGAGATATTGACAGTTATAATAATAAGTAAAGGGAATTAGTTGAAGCAGCATTGTCACAGCATCATTACTTTGTAACTTCCCCTGTTTTTGCAGCAACCTTAATTAATTATTCATTGTGAAATCTAAGGAGAGAAATGCACATCACTGGGGAAGAAGGGGGGAAAAGATTTACAACAGCCCACAAATTTCCAGAAGCTACTTATTGTACAGTCTTTCTGTTACTATGGCTTGAAGCCGTATTATCTGTCATCGACTGAAAGTCACGGGGTCTTTAATGATGCTCAAAACCTCCGATTTTGTTTCATCTGAAACTCTTCTTGTTGCACTGGGAAATGGCAGCATTCTTCAGAATCAGAAAAATGAAGCACATAATCAACTCTTTTAGTTTTCATGTAGTTTCGCTCCATGCACAAAAACTTAGTTGTGAAGTCGATCGATCGGATAACAAATTCATCGTGAATTAACCACTTTCATTTCATTAGTGCTGAGAGAGGAAAAGAGAAACCATATCCAAAAATATTAATGTGGGATGAAATATCTCTGTCCCTGCAGGCAACCTGTTTCCCTCAAGCAGTAGTCACTGGTCAGAAAACAAAAAGGAAGGTGGAGAAGAAGGGGGTGAAAAGTAGAATAGACACAGAAGAGTGCAAGTTAAGAATATTGGTCTCAGATAAAGCCATTGCAACTGTATACGTACATTTGTTTATGTATCCTTGTTTTAGTAAACACTGTAATACGTAATCTATATTGTGTCACCAGTATTTAACAATTGCATAATCGAAATAGCTAGTATTTAATCCTCTGAACTTGTTAAATTAAAAAGAACACAATTTTGTTAAGTATTCCTCGCATGGAACTGCTTTGCATTGTATAATGCAATCGAAAATCAATGATAGATCATTGGCATCTAACATTTCTATGAAAAACAAAGGTTTATATAAACCTCTTCTTTCCTGGTCAAAAATTGAATGGCTTCGCCCAGGTTTGAACCGGAGACCTTCAGTGTGTTAGACTGACGTGATAACCAACTACACCACGAAACCAACTTATTTGGATATTTCACCTCACCAGAGTTCATTTTAGCTCAGAGGGTCTACTTTTGGATGGCGAGTAGATAAAGAAAATTACAATATCAACTAGAGGAGAAAGAACAACAAAAAAAACTCTCACCGATCGAACTATTGTTTAACCTTCAAGAAAGCACTAGGCGTAAGGTAAATGTTGAGGCTCTGTCTAGCGCCCAACATGCATGTTAGGCGACGCCTAGGTGTGCCTAAACGTTAGATGTGAACATAGTAAAATATCTCACTCTTGCCTAGAATCACAAGCTTATGAACCAATATCATTGCATCTACCTCTAATTTCTAAACCTTGATCAACAACACATGATAAAGTATAAAAGATAGTGTGAAGAAATGAACAAACAAAGAAGAAGCTGGAAAATACCGAAGCGAATTGAGAGCGAAGAAGCGCAACAAAGAAAGAAGAAACTACTCTAAAGATGGTTATCTCTAACTCTAGCCTTGCGCCTCGAAACAATCGGGAGGGGGAGGATGAAAAGGAAGGACGGTCTTGATTTATCTAT